CCCTCAACGCCTCACGCCAAGAAGACGAGCAACCGAGCCCCTGCGAACAATGTGCTGGGCAAACGACTAGCCCCGTTCTCCCCAACACCCAAACCCCACTGCCACGGGGCCGTTCTGACTCACAGCAACCCTGGTCTGGGGTTCCCAGGCTGTCGATCTTTATGGGAACAGCCAGCCTCCCCTCTCCTGCGGAGCAGCTGGAGGGTTCAAATGGCCGGCCATGCAGCGAGCAGCCCAGCACGTGAGCCACGAGACCACCGCTCGGGCTCCCAATAGTGACCGGCTGCCCTTCAGTCCTGACTGTGATAACGCCACATGTGGGTGGTTGGAACGTGGCTCCTCTGGGTTTTCACCGGCTGATCTTTCAGAAGGAGCCCTTCTCCCGAGGTACACCCCTCCCATCTTCCGGTTAGCAGCCAACCGCCTAACCACGTGAGCCACCAACGCACCACGGATCTTGGTGAACGTGTGCCCTTGCGTTTTTTTTATTTAACAGTGTCATGTTTTGCTTGCTCCGCCGTGTCCCTACGTCCCACGAACAGTGAATTTACTTGAAAAAGGGAAGTCCCCTTCAAGATGCGAAAGAAAATTCATGTCAAAGTCACCCTTCAATGAACAAGTCTTTGATGAGAGACGAGTAAGGCCAGTAACTATCTCACCCCCACAGGTGGCACCAGGAGAGCCATCGCCCAAAGAAGAACAAGCCGTAAGTAACGGCCCAAAGTACACGACAGACGGAACACTTGTAGCCTCCCCTGTGGCTTAGGGGTTACATATTGGGCTGCTCCCCATGAGGTCAGTAGTTCCAAACCACCAGCCGCTCCAGGGTTTTCTACTCCTGTAGAGAGCGACAGTCTCGGAAATCCACAGGGGCAGTTCTATCCTGTTCGAGAGGGTTGCTGTAAGTGGGCGTCCACTGGATGGCAGGGAGTTTGATTTGGGCTTGGGAAAGCAGAACCTCACGCAGGGTCCTGGCTCTTTGGTCTGGGGACATGCTGCCTGCCCTGCTACTTAGTCCTCTGGCAGCCATGATTCTTAATGACATGATGCCCCAGAGAGAGCCAACCTGCACGCAAATGAACAGGTTTGCAGACGAGCCCACATTGCCACCTACTGGCCGTGGAGCGGGGAGCCAAGTGCCGTTGATTACGTTGCAATAAAAGGAGGCCTCCTAGGGAAGCTGTGACACAATGGATTGCAAGGTGAGCAGTTCGAAACCCAGCTGCTCTGTGGGATAAAGACAAGCCTTTCTACTCCCGTCAGCAGTGACAGTCTCAGAAACCACCGGGGCAGCTCTACCCGATCCCACTGGGTCGTGTGAGTTGGAACTGACTCAATGGCAGTGAGTGAGTGGCAGGCTTTACAGACTAGAACCCTCAAAAAGACTGTCGGTGGTTGTGTGCCGTGACAAATTCCATTCACATAACACCGTGAGGACGGCACAGGGGCCGGCACTGTTTCCTTCAATTGTGAGTAAGTCGGAAGGGACGGACACTTCATCACCACCAACATTGACAGTGTGTGTGGAGGGATATAGGCACACAGATATAAAGGTCCTTAAGCCCCTTCTAGAGCTGAGAAGCCAGGCTGTACTTTGAAGACTAAGGTGCACCTGACCTGCGCCCCGGTGGTTCCCATTGCCTCATATGCATGTGACCGATGGACATCGAATCAGGGAAGAA